TTTTATTTGAGACACAGCAAGAGAGGGAACACAAGCAGGGGGGAGTGGGAGAGGGAGAAGCAGACTCCCCGCTGAGCAGGGAGCCCGATGCAGGGCCTGATCCCAGGACCCTGGGACCATGACCCGAGCCGAAGGCAGATGCTTAACGACAGCCACCCAGGCGCCCCAAGACTCTTCTTTAAGATACTGAGTTCCGGGCTTCAGAATTACTAGGATAGGACTGAGGAATCTGTACTTGTAACAGACACTCTAGATGATTCTTCTCATTAGTCAAGCTTGGAAAGCACTTGACCCAGATTAAATTAATTGCACTTTGGTCATCTGAATACCATTTCCGTGTGTGAGAAGGGGATGTTAGGTTTCTAGTATTAACGGAAGGGCTAGTCCTAAGACACCTGATGGTGCTGCTTTTATTGTGGTCAGATGAGACCCTTTAGAAATGGACAGAATTCTTTTCTCAGCAGTCGGTAGTATACTGAGGTCAGCCTTGCCTTATAAATTCCTGAAGTAACAGAATGGAAATCTCTTAATAGCCCCAGCATTAGTTAATACTACATTAAAGAGTAAAAAAATCTTATTTATGTACTTTGACAGCTCACATCAGTATATGTTGTTAGTGAAAAAAAGTTTATATCCTGTATAGAAGCTATAAAATAACAAATTGGGAGAAGAGGAATAAGATGAATAAAAAAAATTGTTATTCTCTAAATGTTCTTTAAACGGATATAGCAGCAGCCTTTCATAAAACTCTGGAAAAAACAGCTTGACCTTACTGCCCCCTTTCCAACGACGTCAAACAAAAGGAAATTATAGAATAAGTCTGTCTAAATTTTAAATGGCTTAGTTATCGGAAGACTTTAGAGAGCAGTTTTTCCACAAATCATCCTTGTGCTATTTGGTCTTAATTTTTTTTTTAAAGAGTTGGTGAGCCAACATGTAATTAATCACTTTTGTTGGCTTTTAAGGAAATGAAACTGCAGTGTACCCTTTGGCTTTATTGTTCTTCATTTTGGTGTTTTTTAGTGTTGCAATGTAATATGAGAACCTTAGGTGGATGCTTAGCGTTAATAATGTGAACAAAACAATGTGAAAGAAGTAATTTTTTTTAAATCAGCTTATACAGATTATACTGTTTTCGTACCTTTGCACCTTCCGTATCTCAGATATGAGCAGCATTACTGTGAAGGTCCCTTAGAGTTGGGAGTTGTTAGAGTGTACCTCCCTTGTCAGTGGATGGGGTTAGTCCCTGTGTACAAAATGGCAGTATCCACTTGTTATTAATTCCCATTGTTTCTTCCTCCAAAATCTAGTTTGGATTGATTATTCGTTTTTCACAGCTGCTGCCACAATCGGTGAATAAGAACAGATCCATCTCATTTCATGGAGAAGGGGTGGGAACACCCAACCAGTTTTACTTTCTTGGGCTCTGTTCCATCAGAGTAGTGAACTACCTTCCATGTGTAAATTAGACACGATTTTTAAAATTAAGCATTACTAATCATTGTCATTATTAAAAGTTTACCTAGAGTACGCTTTTAAGATAGACAGATACCTGGATGTATGCAGGCACCTTCCTTTAACTTTTATTAATTTGAAATCATTTTTCCATTTTTAAACCAGTAGTTGTTTGTTTAAGATTTTTTTTTTTTTTTATTTGACAGAGGGAGCATAAGCTGGGGGAGCGGCAGAGGGAGAGGGAGAAGCAGGCTCCCCACTGAGCAGGGAGCCCAATGCGGGGCTCGACCCCAGGACCGTGGGATCGTGACCTGAGCCAAAGGCAGATGCTTAACCGACTGAGCCACCCAGGCGCCCCTTAAACCAGTAGTTTTAAGGAAAATTCCAGTAGGCTCTGTATGGAGATTTTTTTTTTTTTAATTTATTTCTTTATCTCAGAGAGAGATCGAGAACACAAGCAGGAGGGTCAGAGGGAGAGAGAACCCCAAGCAGATTCTGCGCTGAGTGCAGAGCCTGATGTGGGGCTCCCATGACCCCGAGATCACAACCTGAGCTAAAATGAAGTCAGACGCTTAACTGACTTTGCCACCCAGGCGCCCCTCTGTGGAGATTTTAAAACTATACATCCATTCCCATCTGTTCCTCCCTTCCTCTCCTCCCCCTACCCCTTTCAAAAACACAGACCTCTGGGATGGGCATTGCTCCACCCTAATGAACTGTTAATGAAAAAGATACTAAGTTCCAAAGACTTAACTTTTTGGTTTTGGTATTTAAGGGCATGCTGGCTTCAAAATGAGTTGGGAAATATTCCCCTTCTTCTCTTTTTTGAAAGAGTTTGTGTAAGATTGTGCTGTAGGTTGAATTGTGTCCCCTGAAAAAATAGGTTGAAGTCCTAATCCCCAGTACCTTAGAATGTGACATTATTTGGAAAAAAAGTCTTTGCAGATAAAATATTAAGATGAGGTCATACTCAATTAGGGTGGACCTTAATCCAGCATGACTAGTATCCCTTACAAGAAGAGATACAGACATGTGAGGGGAAAATGTCTGTGAACACGGAGGCAGAGCGTGAAGGGCTGCATCTACAAGCCAAGGAGCACTAAGGACTTCTGGCTACCACCAGAAGCTGGGCGTGAGCAAGGAAGGATCCTTCCCCATGAGTTTTAGAGGGTGCAAAGCCTTGGCGACACCTTGATTTTGAACTTCTAGACTCCAGAACTGTGGGATAATACATACTGTTGTTTAAGCTCCCTAGTTTGTGGTACTTCATTATGGCAGCCCTAGGAAACTCATATAAATTTGCCCTATTTTTTTTCTTTCAAGTTTGTTGGAATTCACCTAGTGAAACAGGATGTAGTTTTCTTTGTGAAAAGATTTTTAACTACAATTCAATTTCTTTTCTTTCTTTCTTTCCTCTTTTTAAAGATTTTATTTATTTATTTGAGAGAGGGAGAAGGAGAAGCAGGCTCCCCGCTGAGCAGGGCTCCATTCCGGGACCCCGAAATCATGACCTGAGCCAAAGGCAGACGCTCAACTGACTGAGCCACCCAGGCACCCTGAATTCAATTTCTTTAATAGATATAAGCTACATAAGTTTTCTGTTTATTCTTACATCTATTGGTAATTTATGTCTTTTGAGGAATTTGTTCATTTCATCTAAATTACTGAACTTAATGTTGTAAAGTCAAGTTTGTATTTTTTGATATAAGGATGGTCCCTCTTTCATTTCTGATATCAGTAATTTGTGTCCTTTATTTTCTTTGATTAATCTAACTTAGTGGTTCTCAACTGGGGGCAACTTTGTCCTCCCCACCAGGGGACATTTGTTAATACCTGGAGGTATTTTCAGTTTTTACGCTTGGGGCATCTAGTGAGTAGAGACCAGGGATATTGTTAAACATCCCACAAGGTATGGGATAGCTTCTCACAACAAAGAATTATGCACCCCACAATATACATAGTGCTGAGGTTGAGAAACCTGTCTTAGAGTTTATGAAATACCCCCTACTTTCAAATAATATTATACCATTCGTGTTTAATATAAGCACTTAAAATATTTCCATTTATCATCTTCTTCCATCCTTTATGCTACTGTGGGCATACATTTTACCTACTGTATACATTATAAATCATACAATACATTGTTATTATTTTTGCTTTAAACAATCTATTAAAGAAACTTGAAAATAAGAAAAAATATCTAATTGTTACTCATGTTTTTAATACAATTCATTTTCTTTGTAGATCCAAATTTCCATCTCAGCTTCTTTTTGTCTAAAAAATCTGTATTTTTGCCTTCATTTTTGAAGTATATTTTGGTTTGGTATAGAATTCCCCATTGATAATTTTTTAAATATCCTAAAAATGTCTGTCCACTGGGTTTTTTGTTTTGTTTTGTTTTCATAGATTATAATAAGAAATAAAACCATTGTTCACTAACACAAGTTTTTTAAAAAACAACCTGTTTATTTTAGGGAGTATTTCTGGATTTTGTTATAATATTGAAAAATAATTACCTAAAATTTAATGCACTATGCTCAGATCTTGTAAACAGACTTGTTTTTGACTTGTGTTTTTCCTTTTCTCTATTTCTTTCTCCTTCATTCATTAAAAAATTTTGTTTTTTGGGCCGATTACCTCTCTGAGCCTCAGTTTTCTTACCTGTAAAATTGGGCTACCAGTGCTTCTCACAGGTTTATTGTGAAAATTAGATGGAGATAAAGGATTCAAAATGTCTAGAACAGAAAGGACTCATAAAAATGCCTTCCTCCTCATCCAGCTTCAGCTGTTCTCACCTCAGGGTTCATGTGTGGCAGCGGATCAGCAGGAGTCCCTACTCTGAGTCCTTTCTGGCTGCATGGCAGTAACTCTGTGTAGACATGTTGCCTGCCCTCTGCACAATCCCTATGAGCCAGTATAACCACAGCTGGGCCAAAATGGGGAGCTCTGGTTGGACCATGAATGAACACTCTTGTCACTGCTTCTGATTTCTGTTCCTACCAATAGTTCACATGTTGATTTTAAATAAATCTGATCTTTTACTCAAGCAAGGTTAGAAGATATTTTTTCAGGATGCTTTAATCTGTTAATTTAAATTATTTGAATATAGTAAAAATCCAAGACATCTTGTATTTTACACAGTTTACATATTTAACTTACTCAGAGTGCTCTTCCCTCCAGTTAGGCTAAAGTTATAATCATTTTCCACTTCTCAATTATACAGACTAGCTACAGTTATTTAATGTAACAGATTTTTCATATTAGGAAAATATTAGACATAATTAGCTGTTTGGGGTAGTTGGTCTTGTAATCAACAGTAAAAACCATTCTTTCCAAGGGATCTAATTACCTTAGAATATATAATAATGGTATTCCTATTAAAGGGTGCATTCATTAAAAGGCTCTTTTCTGTCCCAGCAAGAGAAACTAACTAGCTATGGTAGACTTCTTTTTGTAGATAGTATTTTGCTTTCCTTAAGAGTTGGGTGCTATTTTTGGTCCATACCTGGTCCCTTCCCTCATTCTGTTTCTCCTTCTCTCCTCAGTGGGCCTTCGGAGTGACGCTGTGGGAGCTCATGACTCTGGGCCAGACGCCCTATGTGGACATTGATCCCTTTGAGATGGCCGCATACCTGAAAGATGGTTACCGAATAGCCCAGCCAATCAACTGTCCTGATGAGCTGTGAGTTTCTCTGAGGTTTCATTCCATTTATGATACTAGAAGAGCCGGTCTCCGTATTCATACAGAGACTTCCCTTTGGAGAGTAATGACTCTTTAGACTTGAATTAGACTCATGGAGAACCAGAGAGTCAGCCAGACTCATTCACTCTTTAATACATTTGACATTAGAACATTTTTTAGTTCTTATATTTGTAGTGTTTAGTCTAATCTGAGAGACCAATAATGTACATAGGAAGAAAATACTGAATACTGTGTTAGTTATTCTATATAGAGTGTGTATCCGACTTTTATTGATACAGCCTTAGTTATAGAAAGCCTTTCTCATTGTCATCTTGCCTTGCCATTTGGTGTCAACTGATATGTAAGAAAAATGTTCCAGGCTGAGATAGTTCCTGTTTCCTGCCTTCCTCATGTAGGTAATCTTCCCATATAAAGGGAGTAGGGTGGGCAGGAGGCTATTGAGGGGTGATTGAGTGCACAGATGACTGTGGTCTTGCTTCCTGAATCCCCTGAAGGTTTCTATACCATGGTGAGGTGGCAACTTTTGCACTGATAGTACTGTAGATCCAGTGTGCTTAGAGCTTAGATTAATCTTCCTCTTCCTCCAAGTTCTTTCTCCAGAAAACACAGGTTGTTATTTTGTCTGTGTTTTAGGGATTTACGTGAAATCTCTATATTTGCTGATGTATTTTGATATGATGTCATGAAGAATTGAAACCCACACATAAAATCCAGATAATGTGTTTTAGTTTCTTTTCATTTTAGAACTGCCAACATACAGTAATATTCATTGATTTTTAATATGTCATTCTCCCCATGCCCACCTTTAGACAGAAAACAACTGGCATCAAATTGACCTAAAGATTAGGAGTACTGTAGCATCATTAGCACAATTTCCCATTTTTGTCACTGCAGATTTGCTGTGATGGCTTGTTGCTGGGCCTTAGACCCGGAGGAGAGGCCCAAGTTCCAGCAGCTGGTACAGTGTCTCACGGAGTTCCACGCAGCCCTGGGGGCCTATGTCTGACTCTCCTCTCACAGTCCCATGGCATCAGGAGCACGGTGCCTGTCGGGGCTCCCTTGGAACCAGTCATGGATGCTTTGTACGTCACGCAACACCAGCAGAAGCACATATGTCTTCCGGAACACCGTGCCTTAGGAATGCTTTAGAATCTGAACTTTTAAAGACAGACTTAATAATGTGGAATATTTTCTAGATATCATTTTTATTAGGTTGAACTGAAAAGGTTTTTGTAAATTTTCTGGCCCAAAATTTTTTAAAACATAGTTACTTTGGACTAGGGGTACATTCTTACAAAATAAACAGTTTTAAAAATTGTTTAAACACAGATACCTGGAATAGCTATCTTAGTGCCAACTGCTTTTTTATTTTTTTACTTCATCAAGGTAATGTAGGTGAGTCACCTTTAAAGTTTTTTTTTTTGTTTTTTTTTTTTAATATTTATCACTAGTCTTGGGAATGGTTTGTCTTCAGAATACATTACTTTTTCTTAGGAAAAGGAAAACAGCATAAAAAGATGTCTGGTTTGCCTTGTATAGGAAAAGGCAATATTGGAGGAAGAAAACTTAAAAGCTAGGGGACAAAAATTTTAAAAAACCCTTAGAAACAGAAACTATCCTTTTGTGGGAAACTGTTTCTTTTTTATTTTTTTAATGAAAATTATTTCTGCTTTCTTATTTTGGGGGAAGTAGAAGCTGAAATCATTGAAACACTTAAATTTTCCATGACCAGAAGTATGCTTCGGGCAGGTTAGTCAGTAGTAAACAATAGTGATTTTATTTATTTTTTACTCTCTGGGAAAGGAGATAACACTATTCCAGAAAGTGAAATCATGTTTCTGAGGTTAAGAATCCCTTTTATTGCACCTAGAATAGTGCTATGCACAGAGGCGGTGCTTCAGTTGTTCTGGGTAGTGTAAAAAAAAAACAAAAAAGTAAACTGGTAAATTTTGTGCTTCAAGGCTGACTTAAGTATAAAGTTGTTTCTTAAAACACTTGAAAAATTAAAGGATTTGTTTTATAATAGTATTGAAAATATTGTTCATAATGAACGATTGGTTGTGTTTGGTAAGTCTTTGAACATGTGCCATCTAGATAGATACCCATGTAATCAGGCTCCTAAGCCCTAACACAGTTGCAGCTGACTCTGCTTAACCTCCAAGTTCTAATAATTTGGGATCATTATTACAAGGAAATATTACAACTTTGAAACTTTTCTCCAGAGCCATTAAATGAGGGATATGTATGTGTTTATGCTTGGTTGTAGTTGACCTAAGGCAGAGTTGAATGAGCCTCCTAAATAGTTAGGCCTACCGGTGCCTGCCTCTACTCCCATCCTCATAGGTATATTAGGAAGAATGCACAGCAGTTGGAGCCTTTGCCATTATTAAAGAAGTTTTGTGAATCAGCACATCTGGAAAAATAGCTCACACAACACATGCTCTGTCAAAAGCAAGCCAAGAACATGATTTTTCTGAGTACCACTTATTAATAACACTGGTTCTTTGATTTTGTGAAATACTCAGCCCCCTGAATGTCCAGTTTTTCTAAAAGCTCTTTGAACTCTTTGTAAGTTATAAGTGTTTTTGTTCACAACCTGTAATCTTAGAAGGCATTCAGTCAACAAATATTTATTTGGTTCTTATATGTATTATGCACATAGAATGGTTCAACTCTAGCATCCCTTCCAGCATTCAGTGCATTCTATTTTGTGTTCAGGTTATTGCATTGTTGAGATATCACAGTTCTTTGTATAAGATCAGTTCAAAAGAAAAAGTGCTGACATCTTTGATCCCAAATTAGCAGTTGCTCTCAGAGGTGCTCTCAGTTTGCTGGGATGTGTGATGCCTTTAATCTTATCTTTTTGTGTTTGTAAGCTGTTTCATTTTATGTATGTGCATTTGTTTTAGTAGGTGGTTTAAGACTTTAAATAGATTTTTCTTGCTGAGCTACTTGGAGTCATTGACTTCAATGAAAAGGGCAGTTATAAGATTTCTGTGGCTCGTCTTCTTCCAATTGTTTTGTTGTAGGGTGTGAATATTACTGAAGAGATTTTGCAGAAAATATACTTTTTATAGGAAAGAAGCAAATTAACAAGGCACTGATGTGGTATTACAAGCTGGCTCTAATGACCTAGAGCTCTATTGCAGTCTGTCCTTTCTTATAACACCCGCATTGTAAGAAAATTTTATTTGTAGAAGTAAGGAAGATTGGGTTATTCATTCAATACATGTGTATTTATTGAGTGCCCACTGTTTGTCTGGCTCTCAAGATATGCAGGGAATAGGAGAGATGAGGTTCCTCCATTTCTAGGTTTTACATTCTGGTTGGGAGAAGCAGATAATGAACATAAGTAAGATTTTGGTAAGTGCTATGAAAAACAAGAACAGTATCATAGAAAAGAACTTTAGGTGTAATATTTAGCTAGGCTTCTCTGAGCAGGTGGCATCTGAGCTGAGATCTGAATGACAAAAGGCCAGCTATGAGAAGATCTAGGCTGAAGGGACACAATTGCAGAGACCTTAAAGCAGGAATGAGCTGCCCTCTAGACTTGGCCCTACCTGCTCATCTTCCAGCTACTGCTGCTGAAGAAGAGGACAGAGGCCAGTGTGGCTAGAATGTAGTTAGGGATGGAAGGGTACCAGATGAGGTCTGGCAGACACAGGAACAGAGAGCAGCAGGGCCTTGTAAGCCATGGGGGCACATATTTTATTCTAAATAAAATGGAATTTTTCATTCAAGGATTTTTTTAAATAAGGGAGTGATATGATCTGACTTGTCATTTAAAAAATATTATGCCAGGTCTTTTGTAAAGATTGAGTTTTAGGGAGGCAAGGGGGAAAGTAATAAGACTCTTTAAGAAACTGTTGCTTAGTTTAGGAAAGAAGAGACAGTGGTTTTGGACCAATTTGGGTAGTATGGGTGATTGGAAGGGGCAGATTGGAGACATGTTTTGAAGGTAACAGACAGGACCTAGATCCTTTGGATGTTGGAGGGTTGGGTAGAGAATGAAAGAGAGTAGTCAGGGATAGCTAGTTCGTTTGGGGCTTGGGCATCTGGTTGTATGGCCAAACTATATATGGAAATGGAAAAACTTTAGAAGGAACATGATTTTGCTTTGGCAGATGGAATGAATCAGTTATCTGTTGTAGGCCATGTTTGAGGTGCCAGTTGGTTATCTAAGTAGACAGATGAGAGTCTGCAGCTCAGGGAAGAGTTCTCATTGAACATACTAATGTAGGAGTGTGCCATGTAGACTATATATTTAGAGTCATGGTATTGGATAAACTTACCTCTGGAGAGAGTTTAGATGGATGGAGGTTTTAGGACTGAGTCTTACACTCTCTCAACATTTAACACTCTAGTGAAGGAAGAAGAGATACCAAAAAAAGGACTGAGAAGAAGCCACTGTAGTTGGAAACAGCAACAACAAAAAAAGGAAAATGAGGTGTCGTGGGAGCCCAGGAAAGTAAGTATTTCAAAATGGAGAAAGAAGCCTCTATGGGATTTGGCATTATGGAGGTTATTGACAAAAGCAGTAGGGATTGGAGCAAGCTGAAGTATGACTACAATGTGGGAAAGTGGAGACCCTGCTATAGTCAGCACTGTTGAAGAGTTCTGCTGTGAAGGGAAATGGAGCAGTTAACCACAGGAGATCAAAGAAGTATTTGGGGTGTGGGTTGGAGGACTGGGAGGAATGCATGTTTGTTTTCCAGGTAAAGATACAGTACTGCAAAATGTTCCACAGGCTAATGGGAATGATCCAATAAAGGGAAGAAATCCCTTTGCAGTATGGGACACTCTTTTTTCTTGTCATTTGATCTACAAGCATGAAAGACTCTCTACTCCAGCCCCCAGGCCCTTTGATTATGGTAAAGGCTGTATTTTTGGCAGGGGAAATGTGAAGGGGCAGGGAAGGAGTACACAGAATTTTAAATGTTTCCATTATTTGAAAATCAGCTTCTGTTGAGTTCACTTCCTTAGGACTTCAGACCCAACATGGTCATCTTGCTTGCCGCCATCATCTTTTGCCCCATCGCCTCCATAACTTCTGGACTGGCCTTGGCCCTTAACCCACCCAGCCAGCCAGTCTCTGCTAGAGTAGTGCTTCCTCCTAGCATAGAGCTGCTGTCCCTGCTTAGACCCTTAACACTTTCCCAAAGCCTTCAGGATAGAGTTCCCAACTCCCAGGTACACAAAGTCAACCTCTCTGCTCTGCAGTTTCACCTCTTGCTTCTTCACCAACTCACAGCTTCCTGCCTGCGTGCGTTGTGTCATTTCATGTGTCCTTTCCTTTGAATGTGCTGCTTCTCTCAGAGTGCCACACTCCAGTCCAGATCGCCCAGGAGACTGATCTGACACCTTACCCTGCTCCTCCAGGCTTTGTAGTTGCTTTACAGCCTTGTTCCTAGGTTTGCACTCTGACAAAGGTAAGATGCAGGCTTATTTTTACCACTTGACTGTGCATTCCTTGAGGATAGCAATTTGCATGTCATTCACGTCTGAATCTCATTTGCTTAATTAGTGCTTGACACATGGCAGGGTTGAATATTTAATGAATTGCGTAAAAATAACTATTTACACAAGAACAATTTGGCTTAAAAAAAAGTCTGCTGATTCTTTAAAAGCATTATCTCTTATTTAAAATACTGTGTTATCAATGTGATGTTTATATTCAACTTCGAAGAGTTTAAGTTTTATGTAATATAAACCAATACAGCATGAAATAAAGAGACATTGGTAGGGAAGACTATATCCCACCCCAGTGGTGGCTTAAAAGCACCCTCCTCCCCAATCCCTTGCCCACCTTTTCACTTCATTTTCCCTGCTTTTTCTTTGGTCACAGGAATAATTAACCCAATGGCATATTGTTTTACAGGTCCACAAGATCAGCTTTATTTGGAGTTGTATATGAAAATAATTACCCCAAATGAAGTAATTCATTGACTTTAGTGGGAGAATGTTGTCCAGGTCTGCCCCTTACCCTCACCTCCTAGAATAAAAAGGTGGTGATATAATTTATGGGGCTAGAAAGGAAAAATACAGATAGTTGCTTATTAATTTTTGTTTCTACATTCATTTTTGTGCTTAGGATAACATTGAACTTAATTCTTTGGGACACATGAACATCATACATAAGTGTATTGAGTACATACATTTTATATATAAGTAAACTGAATCTGCAGGCCTCTGTTTGCTCTCTGAGTGCTGTTCTTTAAGAGCTTAATGGGAAATGTCTCTTAACCCTTCAAAGAACAGATGTTAGAAACTTATTTAAAAAAAAAAAGAAATGGAAATTGATATTTGAAATTATTCTTTGAGCAAATGATAGTATGCCATTTGTTCATACTTGGTTTATCCCACATTTCAAAACTAAAGCATTTCTTAGTGATTTATTTTTGGAGAGGGATTAAGCACTCCCATGGGGATATATCAAGCTTGAGGAAAACATGTATAGTTTGAAAATAAAATAACTATTTTTTATTTTTTATCTTTTTTATTCTTATGTTAATCCCCATACATTACATCATTAGTTTTAGATGAAGTGTTCCATGATTCATTGTTTGT